TAAATTCAGTTTACACACCTGGAAGATTTTGTGGTCAGGTTAAAATTGGGAGCTTGCTACATAGAAGCAGTACAATGTAGCTGCAGTATTACAAAATTGAGTATGAGGAGTTTTGAGATATGAACATAGGAACTGAAAAATGTCTATTATAAATTTAGGTACTAAATATTTCAAGATACATGATTTTAGTACATCTGCTAGTAATAATACTGACTGCAGTAACAATGATATTACCCCTCCCCCAGTCATACATTTATGTGAACATCATTGATTTTGAAGGAAATGTCTACTTGAGTACAGTACATTTTTCTTGTATGCAGAATTTGAAGGTGGAGAAACAGGGAAGGTCAGATGCGGAGGTCAAGTGTCAAAGGTTAACCCTGGAGCTGGCAGATACCAAGTCTCAGATCCAGCAGGGGGACTACAAGAGGGAGAACTATGACAGGGTCAAAAGGTAGGATGCTAATATATAACAGGGATATTGCTCTCATCTGCCGAATAAACATATGGGTACGTTTATTTTAATAAACATATGGGTACGTTTATTTTTTTGGGCCCGAACATCCACCCAGTACGTTCTTATTTTGCACAGTACGTTTATTAATTTTTTGAAAACCAGTAATTTTTTTTCAACTTCGTGTGAAAAAAATTGACAAATCATCGACGTGAAGACGTTTATAAACGCGTATTGTAGCGAGAAACTTGTCATTTTCGGGCCGGTTTTTGCAATCACCGCGTGCATAAATTCGTCTGAATGTTCTATTGTCATGGGTGGTGCTTATCAAAATACGAAATATTAAATGCTCTTTTTTTTTGGTCTATTTAAATTCCGAATTGCAAATAACAGTTAAAGATTTGTGCATATATCAGTAAGGGCGCATTTTAGTACAAGAGACACAGGTTACCCGTCAATTTTGGTAATTTTCCGGGGGGTACGTTTATTCCGGGGGTATGTTTATTTGATTTTGAAGATTTGTCCGGGGGGTACGTTTATTCCGGGGGGTACGTTTATTCGGCAGATGAGAGTAAGGCAACATCTTTTCAGGTCAGCAATTGTCTGCCTGTTACAAAATGTATGTTGACCGACGTTTGCTGTTTCAAGTTGTGATTGATCTAAACACTATGTAGTGCTATGCAGTTTTTCGTAGGATGGGTTGAATGTGATTATGATTTGTTGGCATACTTGATTGATAATTTGATTGATAAACATACTTGTACTAGGTTTGACATGAACACACATGAAATGTTGCCAATCCTATGATAAACATTTTGAAGCCATTTCTACTATCTAGTGCTTGTCTTAGTGCTCATCTTTCTACCTGTTTGATGTATAATGATCGTGAGTCTCCTGTAACTTTGCATGCAATTCAGACATGTGAGGTTCAGAATACCTGGGTAAGATAAGCTTCTACAATATTGGGTGTGTAACTTAGGCCACACCGTCTTAATTTTATGGATGACATCCACGCGCGCATAATTGATTTTCGCCTGTTCTCAAAAAAAAAAGATCACGTCTGGCTCTGGGCCTGGGTACTCCATGGTAGTTAGCGACAATACGGAGCCGGTGGTAAGTTGGTAACCCTGGAGGATGGCACTGATGGCACCAAAGCTCCATGACTCAAGAACTCAGTACATACATACAGTGCCGAGTCATAAATTCCACAAAAAGCCAGCATGTGCCGGCTTGTCCTGTACGTCGCTATGCACTGCTGCAAATTCACAATACCAGCTTTGTATTCCTGTAGTTTTTTAGCATTTTTATTTTTGGCCGGAATTTTTTTTATTCGCCAGCGTGCATAAGTTTGGGGTCTTCCGAGGATGTCATCCATAAAATTAAGACGGTGTGGCCTTAACTGTAAACACTGGTGATAAAAATATTTTGCACATACATTGTGTATCCTGAGTATCATCCTTGGTGTAGGTAAGAATATTCTCAACCCATACTTGCATACAACCACTGTACGTAAAGTAGAAGATGGTACTTGGGATACTTTGCACATAATTTGCAAAAGGATAAAAATCAGATACTGGCATATTCACAAAATATGATAATATATTAATAAAAACAAACAATATTAGCTGCACTCTGTGAATTACATGTATTAACTAAGCACAACAGTGACTAATATTAGTAATACTAAGCTCTTTTTGGATGAATCCTAAAATTGTCATAGTTTTGTAATGAATCAAATACTAAAAACAATGTTGCTGTTGTTGTTCAGTGAGAGAGACGACCTTGAACATGAAGTTTTAGACAGTAAGAAGAAGTACACCTACCTGGACGCTGCACACCGGACAGTCTCAAAGGAAAGAGATGACACACAGAAAGAGGTAAATACAACTTGTAATTATGCTTGTGACTGTAACAGTCTGTAGGGACACTTTGCAGTTCGTTTTTGGACTTGATCTAATTAACCATTAGACATTTTTTAGATTATATGTTAATACAGATATAAACTGGTGATATAATTACCTTGTTCATAGTTTGATTGCAAAGTCTTATTGTTACTGTATCTCATATTCTTACCTTAGGCCACAGCAAGTAATTTTTATGGATGACATCAGCGCATGCATTAATTTTTGCCTGATTTTTGGAAAAAAAAATTTTGTAGCCCTTTGAAAGATGTCAGCATGGCAAAAATGGGCAAAGATGTCTGTTGCCTGGCCAAAATGTGGATGGCAGATAAATATGAAGAGAGGAGACAAGAAACATCTACAATATAAAGTTATTTTGTTCCTCTCAGTTGTCAGCTGCCAAACAGGCCCTGGCCTTACTGAGACAGGACAAAGACTACCTCACCAAGCACACCAACGACCTTGGCTCCAAGATGACCTTCAATGAGGAGCGACTGCAGCAGCTGACTGTTCAGCTGGACGACGCCAAACGGGCGCGGGAAGAGATGTACGAGAAATACGTGGCCTCAAGGTGAGAAAGGGGGTTATCATTTCACCAGGACTGCTTTCTTTTTTTTTTACTTACATCTTCTCTTCTCTTCTAGTTCTTTTTTTTACTAGTCTTAACATGTATAAGAAATGTCACAGGGGTTTTTCTAGAAAAATTTGGCATGAGGGAGCAGTATATATCACGGCGAGGGTGCTAAGCGACCGAGGGGGGTTGGTGCGGAAGGGGGTTTCCCCCCTTCCGCCATGTGAAGCCTTTGAAAATTTGAAGTTGAAATGGGACATTTTGAGGCTACTTGAGGGGGGAAATTTGAACTCTTAACCTCAGTATACCCTTCCCAAATTTTTTATTCATGCATTGCACATTTCACTTATAAAATATAAGTACAATCAACAGTACAAACAATCTGCAAATCACCCTTTTACTTACACAATTAGTGATCAATGTTACTAGTAGCTCCAGATGACAACATTGGGTTTGCCACAAGCTGAAACCTTTCCCATGGCACAATTGCAACACATTCATCCAAGCTGCTACAAACTCAGGTCTCATGTTTCACTTCAGAGCCTGTTCTATAGTATGCAAATGAAGGAGGTCTAGCTACATGTCATTGAGCAAGTTCTCAATGAACATTGTTTATTCCATTCAAACTTTTACTACTAGAGCTAAATTTTCAAGTTTGTGGTAAGATTTTGGAATTTTTATGAGAGTAACATAGTTTGTAATGCTATAATGTATTGTTATGTGGTGTTGTTTATTGTATTTTTACTGGAAAAAGATGATTTTGAAAAAGAGTTAGACTTCAATCTGGAAAGTGATATGAGGGCGCTGGTTTGTTACATGAGGGGCAGCGCCCTTGTTCCCCTGTTCAGAAAAACCCCTGTATCATTTTGTAAAATCTTCATCAAATCCCAACGGATTAGACAGGAAATATCATTCTTTTTTTTTTCAAACTGCAAATTAGACCTGAGGAGAGTGCAAGTTAAAACTAAATGTGTATGTTTTTGAGAATTGTGTTTTTAAGTTTGTGATTGAAACTGTAGTACAATAATATTTGACACTAGTACTAGTACTGGTAGTAGTAGTAGTAGTAATACAATAGGAATGCATAGTTGTGGTGTCATACTTTTGCTGTGGAGAAGTCATTGTGAAAACCACAAAAACAATACCACAGGGAACATTTGAAGATGTACTGTAAGTCTGAAGTGGGTGTCTGTGTTGCCTTGCTCGTTACTACAAGGGATCACTACAAGGCTGAGTATGAGCGGAGACTGGCCGAGGAGCTGGACCAGATCAGGGTGAAGACTGACCAGGAGATGGACAGGCTGAGGGTCAGCACCAGGGAGATGTACGAGAGAGAAAACAGGTGAGATGTGCAAATCGGGAGGATGAATGGGTTCCAATCCTTCACATGCCCAGGATGTCGTCAGAACTTACTGCGCCTGTGCAATACCCCCATTTTCACGGTTTTCGTTGGAATTTTGGTCATCGTTGCAGACAATATTTTTTCCAACATTGGGAAACTACAGACAGAGTGTTAACCTTATATGCGCAAATACAGACTTATGAGGCATTCTACCGAAGTGCTATACACAATACATTACAGATTTTTTGCAGGTGCAGTGCGTTCTGCCGACATACTCATATGCCCCACTTGTACCCTTGGAAAATTCAACTGTACACCTATTTCCTCACTCGACTCTGGTGAAAATAAGTACCAAGCTTTGGTTAGGGATAAGGGTTAATTTTTAAAGGTGATAGTCACCTGTTGTGTCGTCATCACTTCCACAAAGGTGGTAAATCTCAATGAGTAGATGAATAGATAAATGAATGTAAACTGTTTATGCGTTAGGTTGGCAGTCTGTAACTGTTTTCCTCGTGTCTAAAACCAGGTTGGCAGTCTGTAACTGTTTTCCTCGTGTCTAAAACCAGTCTGTAACTGTTTTCCTCGTGTCTAAAACCAGGAACCTACGTGAGGCCCGTGACGCTGCTGTAGCTGAGAAGGAGAGACTGGTTCTGGCTGAGAGAGAGGCCACAAGGAGGTCTGAGGATCTAGTAGCTGAGTAAGTCTCTCTCTCTGTTTTTTCCAGAAGGGAAACTAAGATTTTGCAAAGCATCAAGCACCATACCTTGCCTTCTTCATGATTTTTTAGATGTTTGAATGATTTCTGTAGGAAACAACACAATTTTTTTTTGTATGATGTAAATGGACAGTAATTTTTTTCTTTTTAACAGAGTAGTTCAAGGTAAGGCCTATACGACCACTTCTTGGCATTGAACTAGAAATATGAGAGAAACATGGCTATGTCAAGAGATGTCGGTGAACGTTTGATTTGAAAGCCTGTAGATTGTAGGTTGGTGGGAAACACTTGTCAGGGAGGGAATTCCAAAGCTTGGCTGTACGGGGAAAGAAACTGTCACGGTGACTGTAAAAGGATTTCGAACAAGGAATTTGGGCGGTGAAGTCATATGGCACCATTACTAAAAAAAAACATTTTATCTAATAATGAAAAATTTGACTCAATTCTTAAGATGCAGTCATGTACCCTGTAATTCTGCCAAGTTGATGACTAAAATTATAATTGAACAAGGAAATATGGTGTCAGAACCCTTAAAACTGGAAACAGTTATTCTTAAACAAAGTGTTTGAGCAGCACAACTTATAAAGGACTGCATGCAACATCCCTCCACTGCATATGTCTCAGTATCTGTTTTTCCCCTCTTACTTTGTAGTTAAGAGATTTAGCTGTAAATTTGATTTAGGTTTTTCACTTCAGATTCAGACAACTACAGAATGGAGCTGACACCAAGACCTCAGAGCTACAGAATGAGCTGAAACTGAAGTCGTTTGAGACAGAGAGGACGCAGATGGTGCACGAAGAAACTGTCAGGAACCTCAAACAGTGTCAGATCGACAACGAAAAGCTGCAGAACAAGTTAGAGGTACTCTTTTACTTTGTCTTTATGTGATTCATTATTACTACATGCTATGGGAGTATTGTTTTTGTTTTGTGTGTCACTGTGGGAGTGTTTGTGTGTGTGTTTCTGCAGTTCCTGATGAATACAGTGCAGCAGCAATCCCTTGCATGCTCACAGCAGCTATTTTTGTATTGTGGGATTCAAAGGGTCACAAAACATGTCTAAAGTTAAAACTTTTGTTCCAACACAAGATATTGTTCTGACCTATAGAGCTTTCGACCAGTCACTCTGATCTTCTTCCATAGACTGACCCAGTGAGACTTGTCACGTGGCTTATCTGAAGTGTGACGTCAACAAACTTTGGGTTGCAAAGCAGTATGACTAAAGGGGTGAAGCCTGCTATCTCTGCCTTACTTCCTGCATTTTGTGATGTTCGCTTCATACATCTACACACACACATGCCCATAGCTGGGACAAGTGTTAAAGTTATGAAGAGAATGTTAGAAGTTGGATATCTATTAAATCCTTAACCACAGTTCTCACAATTCTCATCCCCCCAACAGGTCATGACCAGAGAGTACTACGAGCTACAGAGGTCCACAGAGAAACAGTTCCTTGAAATGGAGACACAGAATAAGGATCTGAAGTCACGGGTGGAGACTTACGAGAAACTGGAGCAGGAGTTGGACGACGTTGTCATGCAGGCTGCTGAAGGTACATTTGTTTTGTAGTGTTTGATTGGCTTTTTTTTTTACATCAAATCTGAGTAGAATTTTGTTTGCAATTCAGATAGCAACTGTTAGAGGGGGCAACTGTGTCTTCGGTGTTTTCACAACGAAAATGTGGCAACAAAGGTTGTAGATGGCTATGATACCAAAACTTGTTTTTTAAATTTATCCCTAACAGTAGTAGCTACTGTTACACAATTGTTGAGGGGAATTTATGTATGCCAAAGGTGCAGATGTCACTTTTTTGTCATCTACAAACATACTCCACATAAAATTTTCTCATATTTTGCTTGGTATTTCATACGGCACTTGGTACTGGCATCTTTTTGCTTTACATTTACTTGCATGCTAATGATTTAGATTTAGTGCCATCAACTGACCCTATAATTTAGTATAAATACTTCCCTCCCACTACAGTTGAAAACGAGGACGAGGCAGAGAGAGTGCTGTTTTCTTACGGTTATGGAGCAAATGTTCCCAGTACAGCAAAGAGAAGATTGAAACAGAGGTAAAGAAGCCATTTCTCATCATTCTTACTAGTTAGATTAAACTGTTTCCAGAACACTGCAGTCTGCAGTTGTAGATGTTACATACATGTAGCACCCAAATTTCCGGCAATTTACATGTACAAAGAAACAAGTTTCAATGTGCATTTGTTCTTGAGGCCAGAGATAGCATAATTATCAATGATGGTGTACTTCAAACTTACATTTTTTGAGACATGTTTTAGACAAAGGAGGTCAAATATCCAAAATTTCACTTGCTTAGGACCTGTTTGTATGTGAAGTTCATTGTGTAGATTAAATGTAGGTAAAAAGAAACATTCATAGTACACATAATTATCAGTGATGGTGTACTTCAAACTTCCATTTTTTAGACCTATTATGTTTTACGCAAAGATGGTCAAATATCCACAATTTCACTTGTATACATGTAGGTCCTAAGGACCTACAGTTCCTGTGTGAAGTTCATTGTGTAGATTTAGATGTACTGGTAGGTAAAAATATCCGTCCCCATCATCAGTGTCCACCTGGCCAGAAGAGTGCTCCAGCTGGAGAGACAGAATACCTCCCTCAGGAAGGACATGGACAGGCAGAAGACAGAGGCACAACATGTGGCAGAGGAGGTTAGTCTGATTATATATGTCATATTAGTTATTATTATATTATTACATGTTCATGTATAACTAAAGGGTTTGGAAGTCAATGCTTCACGAGAAGCAAAATGTAAAATTTTGGAAGCCCAAGGTTGTAACTGTCATCTTATTGAAACAGAGAAGATGAACAAGACTGGTACTACTGTAGTAGAGGTACAGTGATGATGTGTGTACCCTGCCTATCAAGTACAATGCACAGACTATAATCATATTATGATAATAATGATAATAATAGAAATAACAACAACAACAATAATAGTAGTAATAAAAAAGGTATATTGATGAAACATTACACGTGCAATCGCAGCCTTTTATAGCACTGAATTGATGCAGGGTTTACAATCATATAATACACAAGATGCATATAATTATAACATATTTGCTCCACACACTAGAAGTGTAAAACCATATATTTAGTTCCAATTGGCTATGATTTTTGTTGGTACATGTGACAAATTGGTAACTGTGGCCCATTTATTTTATCTTCCTTTGTTATTACATTCAATTTGTTATTGTTTGTTCTTGAGTGTTGAATTAGGCCTACTCTATGTTGATTGAATCCTGCTATGTATTGAAGTTTTCCATGTCTCCTACTGTGTATTGAGTCAGTCTGTTGACTTCTGTTTGTTTATTTCAGCTTTCTGCAGCTAACAGGGTCCTGGACCAATCCCAGCAGCCCTACTCCTACCTCATCGAGAGTCTACGACTCAGAGACTCCCAGATTAACGCACAGAAGAACCACATCCAACAGCTTCAGGAGGACCTCAGGTGGGAGGGGGGTGTTTAACAGGGAGTGTGTTGGTCCAGGGGGCTTACAGTGTGTGTATGTGTTGGGGGGGGGGGCATCAGGGCCTACATGTACATGTACATGTTTATTTAACATGTATGTGAAGAAAATTTAACTGTTCTCCAACTCAAAACATGAAAATAACTCACCAGAAATTTTCGACTGAATCACTCAGTCTTCATCAGCTTTATGACCCAAGTGCTGTGGACATGTGACTTTTTGCCACGTGTGATGTCAGCACTGGGTCAAAGTTCGTTGCAAGTTGGTTGAGCGAAAGTTAATATGCCCTGATGTTGGAGAACAGTTTATGCTATGTACATGTATGGTTCTTTTGCAAAAGAAGAATTTGTGAACCTGTTTGTTGGGTTTTAATGAGAATAATAATAATTGTAATAGGTATCATATGCTGATATCTATAAAAAGTATGAATTATGAACACAGTAAGCAGTATTCAAAGACAAATCAAACTTTCCAGAATTGAATCGAGATATGTCGAGTGACATCTGTCACTCTTCTTCAGTCATTGCAATGAACAAAGAGAACTAGTCGACACTAGCCACTCTAACCTTCATCAACGTAACAGTAAGCTACATGTAGTAGTAACTTGTTTAACTTTTACCATGACGTGTTTGATGCATGTACATGAATCATCTGACATTTCCTGTTGTCTCCCAGTCGGTTTGAGAAGGAGAGAGCAGACCTGATCAAGACCAAGAACCAGATGACCTCTGACCTGGAGAGATTACTCAATCAGAGAGAGGTAAGTTGGTTAATCAGTTGATTACTTTCCTGGTTTATGTCTTTCCTAAATAGAATACCTCCCTTTCGCTCCATACAATCATTATAAAGAGTGCAATTTAAAACACAGTCCTTTATAATAATAGGTTAAAACGTTGTAAGAACTTTTTTAAAGGGTAAAAAAAATTTTTTTTAGCAGGGCCTTAGTTTTCCTTGTCTTTAAGGTCTGAGCCTTCTAAAGCATTGAAAAACATTGTAAAATTTATAAATATCATTTTCTGTTACTTTTTTGTTAATATAGCCATCATGCATTTTCTGAAGATCAATTATGCTGTTGGATATGGAAACATGAGTTCATTGTTGATTTGCTGTATTGCTAACTTGTAACGTGATTCTGACAGGAAATGGCAGTTATGAAACAAGTGGTGCAGAGCCTTCATTCCCGTCGCTATGGTGATGACAGGCCACACCCTCAGGAGGCATCCACCACGTCCACCGCCGTCCGCTCAACTGGACCACGTGTGAGGGCCCCGCTACAGGACTCCAACACTTACACACCTGCACCTACCTTATTTGTAGGTTTCATTCTACATTTTCAATAGACATCTACAATATACCTGTTAACCTTTATGTATTTAATAGGTATTGCAAGAACTGCTTACATGTCACAGGGGGGACATTTTGAGTAGAACGCCATTCTAGAACCCGGAAGTTGAACGCGGCTTTCGCTTACAGTGTCCCCCTTGGCAGATCACTGTGATGGTCTGCATTCTGCTCTCAGATACCAGAATCGGCTATCTGGTGAGATTGGGTGGAAGGAATTAGGGGACAGCCATCCTTCAGTGAAGTATCAATGAACTTTAGACTTATTGTATGGGCGCAGTTCAGGAACTTTTAGACATGTGAGTAATACACATCAGTAAATCTGCCAGGGGGGACAACACAAGCGAAAGTCGGTTCTAGAATAGTGTTCTATTCAAAAAAGTTCCCCTCTGTGACATAAGCAGTTCATGCGATCAGTGAAAGATAAACTGGTCTATTGTGATATCTTACTGTTGCACATCAGATCTCGAAATTCTTGATTGTGGATACAATATTGCAGACTTACAGAGTCTGGATTGAGTACTAGTAACTTATTTACAATCAATTACGTACTAGTGAATTGTAAATCAATTCTGTTGACTGTCTAAATTCTGAATTGCGGATACTAGATACTTGTTGTATCAATGATTGTTACTACAATCATTCTTGTTTCTTATGTGATTATTATAACATCCCTGTATAGAAGAAGTCAAACCCAGTAAAACTATAGCTTGTACCATGTATGTTGTAGAATACAGTATAATGTTATGGACGTAGATATAGTCTCGCACACCATTGTATTTTCTTTCTTATGTTGTTTGTAACTGCAATTAGCCCTCGGGCAAGTATTTGCAATAAACTTTCTATCTCTTTCATTCCCAGACTAACAGAGACCCACCAGAGTGGTACAAAAGAGTGAAGCAGCGGAGTGGAACAGAAAGAACCAAATATTCACAAGTCTACGCAACGTCATAGCATTATACTGTTCAAGACTGAAAAAATGAAGGTTGTTTTTAGTACATTTGGCAGAACGTGTTTGTCTTTATTCTTGGTCAGTGCAAAGAGATGTGAAATTTTTACCGGAAATGCAGGCAGCTTTTTAGTTGTTTTTTATATGCCTATTTTAGGCTACAGTCCCTCGCAATAAAACTATGTACATATACTGTATACCTGATTTGATCAGTGTGCATTCCATCCATTGGCCTTGAGGACATTTTGGGCTGTACAGTCCTAGTTTAGAGGATAGAGTTACCATGATGGAAAAGTGTGGTTTACCCCTGGTCCAACAAATTTTAAAACTAGAAAATTTAACTATTTTGAATGTGTTCCTGTTTTAAGTAATTTTTAAAGAAATTATTCCCTGAATGATATGGCTCAATAAACTGTCCTACCTTGAACCCACTATTTACTATGCATGTGTAGATTTCAACAAAGTAATGCTTTACGGGTACAACACCTTGTATTCCTTTGATTCCATCCCTTGTGACTTTTATGTACATGACAAATTAGAATCCAGCCCTTCTTTTCATCATAGAATTTGCTTTCATCAGGACTTCCAAAGGATTCCATGGAAAACAGCAACCTCAGAGTTTCACAAGTTGTAATCTTTTCATGTGGTATACTAAGGATATGTATCAATGATTTGTAAAAAAATATGTTGTAGTTACACAATTGACTACTAGTATCGAGTGTACAGTACAGGTAAAGTACATATCAGGCTTATTTTTGTATGGATGTTATTTTGCTTTTAAGAAGAAATTAAAGCTAGAAGTTGATCCTCTGATCATGATAGTGTCATAATTCATATCTCTAGACAAGACAATATATATAGACACATTGAAGCTGTAGAGGAAAGTTTTTCAGCACACTACCTTCCAACTTGTTTTCTTCCTCCTAATATGCACACATAGGAGAAATACATACAATGTACAAGTGTCTTTTTCTTCGTAAGGCTTGAACCCTGTTTTTCCATTATTGCATTGAAGATGTTGTGGGTGTGGCTATGATGGTATACTCCTTTTGAAGATTGGTACATTTGCTTGAAATACTTGTCTTTGTCCATGATGCCTGCCTCCCCCCCCCAAAAAAAACATATTAATTTTCTTTATATACTTAAGGTCTGAAAGCCAGATGGGAAAAAAGTGCTGCAAGTATGAATGGTTGGGTCAGCAAAAATATTGTCCAATGGCCTTAGTTTGCAAGATTGTTCTTTGCTTCAGTTATCCCCCAGGTACATGTATGTTGCACTGCTATTATCTTTTTGCAGTGCTTATTTACATGTATATTCAAAATATATGCAAATGAAGCAGCATTTTTCCACAGATCTAAGGTATATATTAAAGAAACAGCCATATAAGTGCAGTAGTCAGGGGAGGCACACATTCAACAGGGGATGAACATTATGAACATCACTTGTGGTTCCTCTATCATTCACTGTGACCAGCAGTTTGACTTTCACAGAAGCAGGTTGGGTCAATTTATTCCATTAGGTAACAAAGAATAGTCAAGACATCTTTTTCTCTTAAATTATACAGTGTAAGGGAATTATTTTGGTCTTTAGATAACTTAATTCAGTAGGAATATTCATTTGATAACTCGTAGAAATGTGCAATACTATAGAATTGTATTGAAGCTACAGTGTACATGTATATTGTATACAGACAGAGCTTAGGCCATGTTGATAAAATCGTACTGTGATGCTGTATGCTGTTGGCTGCATACTGTATAATGTGTCTAAAACTTCAAAGAAAATCAATTCTCTGCCTCACAGGATACAGTCTGGGTCTCTTCATATATCCAGCAGATAATAAGGACGCTGACTGTGATCCGACCATCCTCAAAACACCACAACAATCAACAAGGTGTTGTTTTCTCATGTTAGTCTGCTACGATTGATGGTTGAGAGGAATATGAATATTACTCTGCTGCTCCTTCTGAACTACATGTATGTAGCTGCCTGTTTAGCTTCAAATAGCCTCTGTTTCCATCATTACAAGGACGCAGGTATACAGAAATGTGCCGGATTTATCAGGGGCGTACGTCCCAAGTATGTGGCATGTATCTTATGCGATGATGTAGATGTCCCCAGTGTGACCAATGTGAATCATACCCTGTCACCTGCTGCGGCCTGCCTGCATGACACTCCTAAAGCTCTGGTCATAAAAGGCTACCCATTTGGTGTTCTATCGGTCAAGAAATTGTCACCCCTTGATCATTCTTTGATGACATCAAAGTATGACATCAAATAAAACCTATCAGTCGTATATCAGCGTTCCCCGATTTCGCATCGAAAATGAGAAAAAATGCATGGACAACACATTCGATGATCAAATGAGCTTCCCAACATCCGAGACAGAAGGTACGAAACAGACAACGTCAACCTCGAGATACCAATCATCGAATACTGTGACCACAATACTAACATCAGATACATGGTCGACAATGGTGGTCATCCCTGTTCTGATGCTAATGGTACCAGTGTGTACTTTTGTACTTCTGTCCCCGCTTGCGAGCTTTGTGATGAAGAGAAGAACATCAACCAGTCAGAACATGCAAGCCGTCAATGACTCCACAGGTTGGCGCATATGGATGATGCCAAACGATTCCGTCCCCAGCATCGTTCGATCACGTTCCCTTCCCAACCTACGACAAACACACAGGGAACTCCTGGATGATACAGTCTCCTGTTGGTCACTGCCTGCCGATCCACACTCAATCGATGCGACTTACTACGAAATCCCAGATCACATGGCAGCTGCACAGCGACCGCTCCCTGCGCTGCCCCATACATACTACGAGATCCCAAGTTATGAAATCGTTCAGGTTAGGTCAACATCTCTCCCCACGATAGCACATAATATGCATAAAGTGCTCAAAGATGACGTCGTCTCCTGCAAGTCCCTGCCCGCAGCTCTTGAATCTGTCAATCCGACGTATTGTAGAATCAAGGATGAGGATGATGGGGAGGAGGAGGATGGACCGATTCTTTTTTATGCTGCTGCCGCTGAGCCGTCGCTTCCTACACTCACAAAGGACAGGCAGAACAAACACATTTACAGGCACATGTCTACATCTGCCGGTCAGAGCAAGCAGTCTGCTAGCAGACACATCAACGCCTATGTGTTAGGTATGAAGGCCAATGCAGCTTCTAATGACAATTACACAAAAGTCTGTGACAAGAGAATGTATGTCACAAGGAAGATGAATCCTGCATATCAGCTTGCAGGTCAAGTTGTGAGAACATATAAAAAGATAAACAAGACAGATGAATCTATAGTGCTTCCCACAAGCCAAGGGGGTCTACCTACAAGCCAAGGGGGTCTACCCACAAGCCAAGGGGGTCTACCCACACTACCTAACACCTACTGGCCATGGGAGATACCAGGAGATGGATCCAGCACACCACACACAGCCTATCTTCCCAATCTGCCTAATAACACTTACTGGCCATGGGAGATTCCTGAAGGGAGAGTCAAGAATGCACCACAAAGAGCCTCCCTCCCCACACTACCTAACACCTATTGGCCATGGGAGATCCCAGGGGATGGATCCAGAAATATGCCACAAACTGCACATCTTCACACACAGACTAACACTTACTGGCCATGGGAGATTCCAGAAGGGAGACTCAAGAACACACCACATGTGCACAGAGCCTCCCTCCCCACACTACATGTACCTAACACTTATTGGCCATGGAAGATCCCAGGAGACGGATGCACAAATACACCTCACATACCCTATCCTTCCACACTGCCCAATACTTACTGGCCATGGGAGATTCCTGAAGGAAGACTCAAGAAGACACCACACAGGCCCTCCCTCCCCACACTACATGTACCTAACACTTATTGGCCATGGAAGATCCCAGAAGATGGATGCAGAAATACACCGGCACACACAGCCTATCTTTCCACACTGCCCAATACTTACTGGCCATGGGAGATTCCTGAAGGTAGACTCAAGAAGACACCACACAGGCCCTCCCTCCCCACACTACATGTTATTAACACTTATTGGCCATGGAAGATCCCAGGAGACGGATGCACAAATACACCACACACAGCCTATCCTTCCACACTGCCCAATACTTACTGGCCATGGGAGATTCCTAAAGGAAGACTCAAGAAGACACCACACAGGCCCTCCCTCCCCACACTACATGTACCTAACACCTATTGGCCATGGGAGATCCCAGAAGATGGATGCAGAAATACACCGGCACACACAGCCTATCCTTCCACACTGCCCAATACTTACTGGCCATGGGAGATTCCTAAAGGAAGACTCAAGAAGACACCACACAGGCCCTCCCTCCCCACACTACATGTACCTAACACCTATTGGCCATGGAAGATCCCAGGAGACGGATGCACAAATACACCTCACACAGCCTATCTTTCCGCATTGCCTAACACTTACTGGCCATGGGAGATCCCATGTGAGGAATCTACAAACACACCAGGCAGAACCTCCCTGTTGTAACCGAACCTGTTAAGCATGCGACTTACATGTAGACTTCCTGACACAAGAAGAGTGTGTCCATTCCCTTTGTTTCTATGAAAATGCAAAGTATTACGTGGTTCCTATTGAATAATGAAGTACATTGTACCTGCCTTAAATTCAAAACATCTGAAAATGTAATCTAGTGAAAATTACATTTTGTATTTTGATAAATTATGAAAATTGTCTCACAGGTTAGGGCCTAGATTGGCACATTCATTATCATGACATAAAATTAATTTTCTCTGTAAAAATTTTAATCAAAGTATGGTAGAAGTACTTGTAAATTGTAATCATGAGTATTGTGCTATAATGTGCTATTAGGCCACACCAATTTAATTTCTTGGTTAACGGATTCGCCCGCTTCCTTTTTTTTCTGATTTACAAATAAAAATAAAAATTCAGAATCAACTGCAAAATGCTCATATTTTGCCCAGAACAATTGAAAACAGTCCTTTTCATCCTAGTTGTTACAGGTATATCATATCATTCAATTCAATGGTATCATGAAAAGTTCAAAATTCATTGTTTAAATTTTGAGTCAGCCTGGTGTGTTGTCTTCATGGCTCCTATTGTACCATTTTGGGCCATATAGGATGCCTAGGCCTGTTTTTATTTTTATTTTTTTTTCGCCCGCCCGCTCCATTATTTTTCTAGAAAAATCCGTTAACCAAGAAATTGAATTGGTCTGGCCTTATATAATAATAATTTTAAATTAGAAGTTCACAGCTGATTTCTTTATTGGTGTGAGTACATGTATATCAATACATCAGGAATATGGCTGTCCAAAGGATAGGCTACTGTGCACATGTTTTCAAAGTAAGCCTTTCGACATCATTGACAAAATTCTGACATTATTACTTTAAGTAAGTAGTTGGATAATTTTGGAGTTTGGGTATTAGGCCACACCAAGTAAATTTTATGGATGACGTCCGCGCGCGCATTGATTTTGGCCTGTTCCTAGAAAAAAAAACAAGAAATTCTGCTTCCTGTAACTATGACCAAAGAGTCACTACAGTGCCTCAAATCGTCAGATTGACGTGAAACCCGTAACGCGAAAACAGGACAGGACGACATCTGCTGTTCCACCTGATTTATTGCTGTTTTGATTATGAATAAAAGACTTCTTGCTTGTTACACTGTGTCACCTCATTCAATTTGTGTCCTAACATTTGTCATCTCTTAGTATATTTCTAATCTAGGCATCTTGTTTTTTAGGGCCTTTCTTGTTTTTTTTTCGCCCTCTCGCATTAGATTTAGGGTCTCCAAAGGACGT